ACAAATTAACACACATTCCTTGTTACCTCTGGAAATAGCCCTTTTCTTTATCCCTGTCAGTAAATCCCAGCAGAAGTAGTTTGTGTTCAGCTGACAAGGCCAGCAGTATACCTTCATAATTCCATCTAAGGGATGTGACTTCCTCGAGATTGCAAGGATCCTGATTACCTTGTCTTTTGACAGAATATCACATGGGTCCTTTACATTGATGATATACCTTTGGATTTAGTGAGCAAAAAGTACCAAATACTCTAGATTTACTGGTAAGACATTTGCATGCCAGGGGATGGGAAGTAAATTTGACAAAAATTCAGGCATCTTCTACCTCAGCAAAATTCTTAGAGGTCTGGTAGTGTGGGATATATTGAGATATTTCTTCTAAGGATGAAGGATTGTAGCAGGCCCCTTCTGCAATGATAAAAGAAACAACACCTAGTGGGCCTTTTTGAATTTTGGAGGTATTACCTCAATTGGATGTAGCACCAAGTGATCTGAAGTTGCTAGTTTTGAGTAAGGACTCTCAAGAACAAGAGAAGGCTCTGCAATAATAGGTATATGGTGTCGCACAAATTACTCTGCCACTTAGCGATATGATCCAGCAGATCCAATAGTGCTTGAAGTGTCCACTGCAGATAAGGATGCTGTTAAAAGACTTCGTCAGTCCGCTAAATGTTAATCATAGCACGATCCCTTAGGATTTTGGAACAAAGCCCTCCCTTCCTCTACAGATAACCTCTCTGCTTTTCAGAAATAGCTCTTGGCCTACTACTGGACCTTAGCAGAAACTAAACACTTAACTATGGCCCCCAAGTTACCATACTACCTGAGCTGCCCATCATGTACTAGGTGTTATCCTACCTACCAAGCCGTAAAGTTGGGCATGAACAGCAGCACTTCTTCATCAAATGGAAATGATATCTACATGAGCAGGTCTAAGCAGGCCCTGAAGGCACAAATAATATACATAAAGAAGTGCCCTAAATGCCCATAATCTCCACTCCTGCTATACTGTCTTCTCTATTCCAGCCTGCAACTATAGCCTCATGGGGACTTCCCTATGAGCAGTTGACAGAGGGAGAAGTCCTGGCTTGATTTACAGATAGTTCTTTACATGCAGGCACCACTTAAAAGTGGACAGCTGCAGCACTACAGCCCCTTTCCCTGAAAAATGCTGAAGGGAAATCCTCCAGTCAGAAGAACTTTGAGCAGTACATCTGGTGGCTCTCTTTGCTTGGAAGGAGAAATTGCAGGACATGCAATTGTATATTGATTCATGGGCTGAGGCCAATAGTTGGCTACATGGTCAGGGACTCAGAGGGCACATAATTGGAATACTGGTGATGGAGAAATTTAGGAAGAATGTGTGAAAATATATCTTTCTGAATGGGAAAAATACATTAAGATACTTGTGTCCCATGGAAATGATCACCAAAGGATAACCTCAGTGGAGGAAGATTTTAAAAATCAAGTAAATGGGATGACTCATATGGATACTAGCCAGCCTTTTTCCCCAAGTACCTCTGTCATCACCCAATGGGCTTGTGAATAAGTGACCATGGTGGCAAGGATTGAAGTTTTATGCATGAGATCAGGAACAGGAGCCTGCACTCACCAAAACTGACCTGGATATGGCCATTATTGAGTGCCCAGTCTGCCTGCAGCAGAGACCAACATTGAGTTTTCTTTATGGCACCATTCTCTGGTAGCAGGTTGATTCCATTGGACCACCTCCATTATATTCATATGGGAATAGCCACTTATTTGGGACATCAGTTTGCCTTTTTTATGTGTAATGCTTCTGCCAAAACTAACATCCATGGACTTAAAAGAATGCCTTATCTGCCATTGATCAAGGAACTTACTTCACAGCAAATGCCATGCTGCAAAGGGTCTGTGGTCATAGATTTCACTGTTTTGCTGTGTTCACCAACCATCTTGAAGTAGTTGGCTTGATAGAAGAGTGGAATAGTCTTACAAGGACTCGGTTACACCACCAGCTAAGTGGCAGTATGTTTCAGAACTAGAGAAAGGTTTTCCAGAGGCTGTATATTCTTTGAATCGGCTTCCAAAATACAATGCTGTTTCTCCCATTGCCAGGATTCATGGGTCCAGGAATCAAGAAGTGGAAATGGAAGTGGCATCACTCACCATTATCCCTAGTGACTCAAGGGCAGAATATCTGCTTCCGGTTTCTACAGCCTTGCTCTGCTGACTTAGAGGTCTTAGTTCCAAAGGGAGTATGCTTTCACCAAGAAAGGTCTTAGTTCCAAAGGAAGTATGCTTTCACCAAGAGACATTGTGATAACTTTTTGACCTGGAACTTAAGACACCTCCTGCTCAGCCACTTTGGTTATCTTATGCCTCTGAATCAACAGGCAAAGGGAAATTGGACTGCTACTCCACAATGCAATAAAGGAAAAATATGTCTGGAATGCAGAAGATTCCTTAGGGTATCTCAGTTCTATCATGCTCTGTGTTAAAGGTTAATGGAAAACTACAACCCAATCCAGGCAGAATTATGAATGGCCAAGACCTTTCAGGAAGGAAGATTTGGGTCACCCTACTAAATAAAGAGCTATGACTAACTAGGGCTTGCTGAAGGCAAAGGAAATACAGAATAGGTAGTAATAGGAAAAGGTAGTTGTAATTACCAACTATAACTCTGTTACTAGTTACAGAAATAAGGACTGTCTGTAATTGTCATGATTATTTTCTTTATTTTGTATGTTTTTTTGTGTATATATACATATTTTTTTCTTCTCTTAGTATCTTATAATGTAACATAAGATGTACTGATTTCACATCGTATTATTTAAGTATTTCTAATTTCACATTATAGTATTTAAGTTATGATATATCAAGGAGAAGAATTAACATCACTCAAGGACGTTACGTCTTTTTCTGGAAAAAGGGTTAGTGCTTTCTCAGTTGTACTAAACATAGTTGTATCATATTAGAGGGAAGTACAACCTTGTTTTCATCTTCATTTTTAGATTAAGTGTGGTATAAGGAGATGCCTATAGATGCCAAGTTTACAAGGGGTGGATTTTTGATGGATAGTTTTATGTGTCAACTTGGCAAGGTTGTGGGGTGCCCAGGCATTGGTCATACATTCTTGGTTTATCTGTAAGGGTGTTTCTAGATGAGATTACCATTAGCATTGGTACATTGAATGAGCATATTGTCTTCCCTAGGGTGGATGAGTCCCGTCCAATAAATTGAAAGCCTGAATAGAATAAAAAGTCTGATCCTTCCAAGAATAAGAGAGAACTGACTGCCTCCAATCTGAATGACTAGTTCTTTCCTGCCTTCAGACTCAAGTGAAACATTGGCTCTTTCTGAGTCTAGAGCTTACAGGCATTTAGACTGGAGTTATACCATCAACTCCCCTGGGTCTCCAGCTTGCTCACTGTATGTAGATTTTGGATCTTGTCAGCCTCCGTAATTGCATGATCCAATTTCGTATAATAAATCTCTTTACACACACACACACACACACACACACACACATTGGTCTGTTTCTCCGGAGAACCCATCTAATACAGTATCTCTTTTCTTTTTTGAGATGGAGTTTTACTTGTCGCCCAGGCTGAAATGCAGTGACATGATCTCGGCTCACTGCAATCTCCACCTCCTGGGTTGAAGCATACAGTATCTGTTTTCAAAGTATTCTACAATAGTTTAAGAATAGTGCTTTTAGCATTACTTTACAATATTATTTTCTAGTATAAATAATTTAGTCAAAATGTAATATTGCTACTTATTTTAAAGTTAATCATTATTTTCTAACACAGTATCCTTTGTGCCTAGCACAATCCTTGTAGTATATAGGGTCTGAATAATTATTTGCTAAATTGATTTAACCTGAAATAGAGTTTACAAAGTTACTATAATAGATTGGTTTGGCACATAACTTTTAAGGACATTATTGTTATTGAATATGGTCTTTAGCTTTTAAATGGTTTACTGTATTCTAAATATTTTCCTGTAGCTTTATAAATTTGGTTTTGTTTTATACTCCTTTTGATTTGTTGAGTAGGTATTTAAAATTTTTATTTTTCTGTCATATACAAAATTATTCCTTCCCTTGCTTTTTACCTTCCACAGCTGATAGCCATTTTGCCCATTAATTTGTTTTTACTGTCTTAATATTTAAATTTTCACTGATCACCTACCTAATTTGTCACTGGTAATGTCATAAAACATAACTAGTTATTCAGATCTCTATCTGCCTTAGTAACTTCTGGATTGGAAATCTTGTGTTGGCTGTAAATCACATGAACCACTTTCATCAAAATCACCCAAAGTACTTATGGAAAATGCCATTTCCTGGGGCCCCACATTAGAACTATTGATTGAGAATTTTTAAGGGGATATGTACCAAGAATTTGCATCTTTAGCAGGCTCTCTAAGGGATTACTAATGTTTGAGAACCATTATCTTAATTGGTGTTCTCAGTCTTTCTATTTCCTCTACCAGTGCCTAACCCAAACACAATGCAAATCTAAAAACTGAAAACTTTTGGAATTTCACATACCTAAAATAATCTCCTGATTTCACTGCCAAAACCTACTTACAAGGAGGGAGGCTACTTTTATAGTGAAGCTTTTTAAAAATTGAGGAAAAATTATGATTTTTTTGCATGTGAGTTACCTCGCTAATAAACGATTACCTCAATTCACAGCTTTGTTTCTGGTAAACATCTTTTCAGTATCTTCAGATATATTTCTTAAGATTTTATTTTTAGTTTTGTTCTCTTTCCTGTAATGTGGCATACATGTCTGTGTACAAACATAATAAACATGTCTTCATTTAATATAAAATCTCAGAACATTTAAAAATGGATTGATAGTGTTAGCCTCCAAATTATTAGTTTTATTCCTACATCTTTGCCAAGCTACTTGGAAAATTAGACTAAAATTTTATATTCATATAGTTAAAATAGAATTTTTTAGTTAATATTTGAAGTACTAATGTTCATCATCTGTTATATATTCCAGGCATTTACATTGTTTGCTACACATTTCCTGGAACTATGCTATATTGATACCCTATATCCTAATGTAGAAAACATGCATTTTGAAGTTCAACATGTACAGAATACCTCAAGAAATAAAGAAGCAATTTTGTATACCTACAAACTTTCTAAGGGACTCACAGAAGAGAAAAATTATGGTACTGCATATAAAAATTATACCTATACATTCAAGTATGATATATTTTCCTAAGACAAACTTTCGTCTCTTCTTTACTTGGCTGTCAATCTAAGCAGACTTTCCCATTCTTTTGAGTGCTTATATTCTCTTAGATTGTATTTTCTATGACAAACTCATTATATATATTTATATCTATATATATAAATCTCTTTAAATTTGTATGAACCAGTAACTCTGTAAAAATACAGTGACAACTGAAAACCCTAGAAGTATTAGTTTCTATTCTTAAAAAATGTAATTTAGTTTATATTTGCATGTTATATAATTATTTGAAAATTATATATTTTCTACACACTCTTTCAGTAGTAGGGTCCTTCCTCTGTTTTCCTCAGGTTCAGAGTACTTGATTAAATCTAAAATCTTAAAAGGGAATCTATTACCAAACCATATAAACTATGTATATATATATATGTATGTATATTTGAGACAGAGTCTCACTCTGTTGCTCAGGCTGGAATGCAGTGGCATGATTTTGGCTCACTGTAACCTCCACCTCCTGGGCTCAAGTGAGTCTCCTGCATCCGTCTCCTGAGTAGCTGGGACTACAGGCATGTGCCACCGTGCCTGGCTAGATAGTCTTAAACTTGATTAGATACTTTCTGTCTAAATCATTAAATCTCATAGATTCAGAGACTTTTCAATTAATCTGTACATGTAAGTTTCAGAAATTATTTTAGCTATGGATATGACCCTTTGAGGGGAAAAAAAAATCTTTCTTTTGCTATTTAAAATGGAAAATCAAATGGACAACTTATTTATATCAGATGTTTAAACTTTATAAGCCTCAATTTTATTATCTATGACATGAGTATAATTTGCCATATATGTAGAATTACAAGAATTCAATGAATTATCAAATGTGAGTTGTGTTGCACAGTACCTAGCAATTACTAACATCTCAGTAAATTTTGATATTGCTTCTATTACTTCTAAAGCAATAAATATAGTAAACTATTGGCATATAGTAAAAAGCCTATATGGCATTTATACAATAAAATTAAGCTCTAAAAACATGAGAATATAATTGAATACTCTATACTGCATATAGAGTACTCACCTACTGTTATATCTTCTGAGAAATTTCTGTTTCATTGATTTGGGTGGGTGAATGTTTAACTGCAGTGTTATCTCTGTGACTAGATATTATCTTCCCCTGCAAAACTCTTATGCCTTTTGACCTTCTGTTAACTATATTTGCAATTGGAATTTCAATGTTATTATTTACTAACTACCTTTTTTATTCCTGATGTCTCAGAGATATATTAAGAGTTAACTGATATTCTAATTTGCCTCATATGTCTTGGACAAGTAATTAAATCTATTAATTGGTAAGTTGCCATCCAGAATTTTAGAAAGCTTAATTCCAAGAATTATGGTGTAGTTCAGAAATGCCTCTAGAAGGGAAGTTTAAATCTGTGAATAAAAGGTTAATACTAGTTAAAACAAGCATAAAAATACCAGCAGTAACAATATTGAATCCAATTTAAAACAAATAATTTTAGGATTAAAAGCTGCAGAGGTATCTTCACTTCCACCATCAATTGTCTTGGATGCCAAGGAAATCACAACTCAAATTACAAGACAAATTTTGGTAAGAAACTTCGTTCTCATTGTTCTTTGAATTAAAAAAAATACCCTTATTGTAGATTTTTATTATGGCCTTTGATCTAAATATATAATAAATAATACAATAATTAAAATATTTAAAATAAAAACCTAATTTCTAAACAAAGAAAATCCTTTTTACTTCTTAAAATTCTTTTGGTTTGGTTTATTATAATCCTTGCAGCAAATCAGCTAACAGGCTAGGAGATAAAAGTTAAACAGTTCAGTTTCTAAAATAATTATTGCTATACGAACTTAATGATGAGAAAATAAATCTATTGTAAGTGGGCATTAAAAATAAAAATTACTATGTACAATATTTGTATAATTATATATTTTTTATAGTTTTCAAAGCTTTTCTACTCATGACATGTAAACCTCATAACTCTTTATAAAGTAGTTAGGTCTTTATAGTAAAAGATTTAAAAAGGGTTATTTCTACTCTTAATTTTACAGGTTCACAGAGGTTAAGTGATTTGTTTGGAAGCAGTAGGTTCAACACTAAACTCACATCTGTTGACTCAAAATTTGGAAAATTTTTAAATTTCAGTTTGTTTTATGTAAGTGTTTTTTGGTTTTGGGTTTTTGTCGTTGATTTTTTTTTTTTTTTTTGAGGAAGAGTCTTGCTCTTTTCACCCAGGCTGAAGTGGAATGGCACGATCTCAGTACATGACAATCTCCGCCTCCTGGGTTCAAGCAATTTTTTTGCCTCAGTCTCCTGAGTAGCTGGGATTACAGGAGCCCACCACCATGCTCAGCTAATTTTTTTTTTTGTATGTTTTGTAGAAATGGGGATTTTGCCATGTTGGCCAGGCTGGTCTCGAACTCCTAACCTCAGGTGATCCAGGGGCCCTGGCCTCCCAGAGTGCTGGGATTATAGGTGTGAGCCAACATGCCCAGTTGCTTTATAGAGTTTTAAAAATCCAATGTGTTCAGTAAACTGGTCTAGGTGCAGTGTGATATTTTCTTCATTTACAATTTTCTATGTCCGTCACTCTTTCTTAACCTGTCTTCCGTTTTTATTAATTCATCTGCCTTTTGAATTCCTCTAGTCTCTGTGACTTCACTTGCCTAATTATCTATTTGAATCTCTTCATCAGAAATTTTAACTGTGCTGTACTCTGAAGAAGCTCTTACTACCTAACTCTTTAGAGTTCATCTTACCACATTTCAATTATGAACCACCTATCCTTTAGCCTTCTAGCAGGCTTTGGTTCTCCTAATGATGTTTGAAAAATATTCAAAACAAGCTAATTTTAACCACTGCAAATTCATATATTCTGATTTTAGTTGAATATTTTACTGGATAATTGTGATTTTTTTCTTTTTTTAATTGGTACTTAATAGTTGTACATATTTTGGGGGTACATGTGATATTTTGATACTTGCATGCAATGTGAAATGATTAAATCAGGGTAGTTGGGATAGCCATCACCCCAAACATTTATCTTTTGTTTTTGAGACAGAGTTTTGCTCTTGTTGATCAGCCTGAAGTGCAATGGCATAAGCTCAGCTCACTGCAACTTCTGTCCACTGAGTTCAAGTGATTCTACTGCCTCAGCCTCCCGAGTAGTTGGGATTACAGGCATGCGCCATCACGCCTGGCTAATTTTGTAATTTTAGTAGAAACGGGGTTTCTCCGTGTTGATCAGGCATGTCTTGAACTCCCAACCTCAGGGATCTGCCCACCTTGGCCTCCCAAAGTGCTGGAATTACAGGCGTGAGCCACCGCGCCTGGCCCAAACATTTTACTTCATGTTGGAAATGTTCCAATTCTTACCTTCTGGCTATTTTGAACTATGCAACACATATTAACTATAGTCACCCTACTGAACTATCATACACGAGACTTTATTCCTTCAATCTAACTGTGTTTTTGTACGAATTAACCGACCTCTATTCATCTCCTTCCTCCCCTAAACCCTTCCTGTCCTCTAGTAACCATCAATCAGCTCTTCACTTTTATGAGATCAACTGTTTTTGCTCAGACATATGAATGGGAGAATATGTGGTATTTGTCTTTCTGTGTCTGGTTTATTTCATTTAGCGTAATGATTCTTTATCCATGTTGCTACAAATGCAAGGATTTCATTTCTTTTTGGCTGAATAATATTCCATTGTGTATATGTATCACATTTTCTTTATCCATTCATCTGTTAATGGACACTTAGGTTGATCCATATCTTGGCTATTGTGAATAGTTCTGCAGTAAACATAGAAGTGTAAATATCCCTTAGATATACTTATTTTCTTTCTTTTGGATAGATGCCCTGCAGTAGGACTGATGGATCATATGATAGTGGCATTTCTAGTTTTTTGAGGAACCTCCATACTATTTTTCATAGGGGCAACACTAATTTACATTTCCGTCAGCAGTGTATGCACATTCCCCTTTCTCTATCCTCACCAGCATTTAATTGTCTGGTTTTTAAATAAAAGCCTTTTAACTAGGAGAAAGAAATCTTATTGTGGTTTTGGTATATATTTCCTTAATGATTAGTGATGTTGAACACTTTTTCATATACTTGTTACCTATATGTTTGTTTGTTTTTCAACCTCTTCTATTTCACTTTTAACCTATTTCACTGTCTCTCTTTTTAATTGGTCTAGCTAGTTGTTTTCTCTGCTAAGAATTTCATTCTCCTTCCTCTACCTCATCCATGTAATTTTTATTTGTCATTTTCTCTAGCTCAGATGTGAACTTCTCCAAGAAACTTCCCTGAATTTCTTCTTCCAGTGGAGCAATGAACTCATTTCTTGTTCTTAAGGGACCCTTCTCACAACTACGATTTAGTTGCAATAGTTTAGCCAAATTGCTTATTTTTATTTTTATTTTACTTTATTTTAGATTGTGGGGTATATGTGCTTGTTTGTTGCATAGGTATATTGCATACTGATGGGAGTAGGGTTCCTAGTGTACCCAATAGCAAAATAGTGAACATTGTACCCAATAGATAATTTTCAACCCTTGCCCCCTCCTACCTTCCCCCTTTTGTCCCCAGTGACAGTTATTTCCATTGTTATGTCCATGAGTACCCATTGTTTAGCTCTCACTTATAAGTGAGAACAAGGAGTATTTGGTTTTCTGTTTCTGAGTTAGTTCATTTAGGAAAATGGCCTCCAACTCCATTTATGTTGCTGTGAAGGATGTGATTTTATTCTTCTTTATGGCTAAATAGTATTCCATAGTTTTCTTTATGCAGTCACCTGTTGATGGGCATTTAGGTTGGTTCCATGACTTTGCTATTGTGAATAGTGCTGTGATTAACATATAGGTACAGGTGTTTTATATATATATATAAAAAACTATATATCACCATGTATATAAAACTATTTATATAACTATGTATATATAAAACTATATATATATATATACATATATATGTATATTTGTATATATATATAGTTCTTTTAGTTTTTTGAGAAATATCCATAAGGTTGAACTAATTTACATTCCTGCCACCTGTTGGCTATTTGTATGTCTTCTTTTGGGAAATGTCTATTCAGATGTTTTTCCAGTTTTTCAATTGGGTTATTTGGTGGGATTTTTTTTCCATCAGGTACTGGCTTTTATTTACTTTTTCTTTTCTTTTTTATTTTCCTTTTGTTTCTTTCTTTAAAAAAAAAAAATTTTTTTTGAGACAGGATCTTGCTTTGTTTCCCAGACTGGAGTCCAGTGGCAGAATCCCACCTCACTGCTTATTCACCTCCTGGCTCAAGCAATCCTTTTACCTTAGCCTCCCAAATAGCTGAGACCACAGGTACACACCACCACATCAGGCTGATTTTTAATTTTTTGGCAGAGATGGGGGTCTCCCTATGTTATGAGCTTTTCTCTGATGAGAGACTTTTTTTTATTGCTTCAATCTTGTCATTCGTTTCTTCATGGTTCAATCTTGGTAAGTTGTATGTCTCCAGTAATTTATTTATTTCTCTTAGATTTTCCAACTTGTTGGCATATAGTTGTTTGCAGTAGACTCTAATGATCCTTTGTATTTCTGTGGTATCAATTGTTATGTCTTCTTTTTCATTTCTGATTTTTTTGGGTCTTCTGTCTTTAGCTAAAAATTTATCTTTTGTATTTATTTTAGTTTCAGCTAATTGTTTCTGCTTTGATCTCTATTATTTCTTTTCTTCTACCAATTTTAGGTTTGGTTTGCTTTCACTTTCCTAGCTTTGAGAAGTACCTCATTAGGTTTTCTGTTTTGTTGAAATTTTTCTACTTTTTTGTTGTAGGTGTTTATTGCTATAAACTTCTCTCTTAGCAGTACTTTTGCTGTATGTCATAGATTTTAGTATGTTGTGTATGTTTTTCAAGAAATTTAAATTTTTTCTTTTTAATATCTTTATTGGCCCATTGATTATTCAGAGGCATGTTGTTTATTTTCCATGTGTTTGTATAGTTCCCAAAAATTTGTCCTGTCATTGGTTTCTAGTTTTATTCCATTTTGGAATAAAATATACTTCATATGATTCCTACTTTTTTGAATTTACTGAAACTTGCTTTGTGGCCTAATGTATTATTTATCCTGGAGAATGTTTCATGTGCTTATGAGAAGAATTTGTATTCTGCAGCAGTTGGATGAAATGTTCTGTAAACATCAGTGAGGTCCAAGCAGTCTAGAATGTAGTTTAACTTCAGTGTTTAACTGTTGATTTCCTGTTTAGATGATCTGGCTATTACTGAGAGTGGAATGTTGAAAACCCCTACCAGTACTGTATTGCAGTCTACATCTCTCTTTATATCTATGAATTTCTGCTTTATATATTTGGATAGTCCAGTGTTGGGTGAATATATATTTATAATTGTTATGTTCTCTTGCTGAATTGATCCCTTTATCATTATATAATGACATTCTTTGTCTCTTTTTGCAGTCTTTGACTTGAAGTCTGTTTTATCTTATATAAACATAGCTACTCCTGCTCTTTTTTTGGTTTTCATTTATCTGGAATATCTTTTTCCATTTTTTAACTTTTGGTTTGTGCATGACTTTATAGGTAAGTGAGTTTCTAGTAAGCAGCATATAGTTAGGTCTTGTTTTATTTATTTATTTGCTGGGGACAGAGTGTTGCTCTGTCACCTAGGCTGGAGTTCAGTGGCTTGATCTCAGCTCGTTGCAACCTCCACTTCCCTGGTTCAGGCAATTCTCCTGCCTCAGCCTCCCAAGTAGCTGGGATTACAGTCATGCCTCCCCACATCCAGCTAATTTTTTTTTTTTTTTTTGTATTCTTAGTAGAGATGGGGTTTCACTGTATTGGCCAGGCTGGTCTCAAACTCCTGACCTTGTCATCTGCCTGCTTCTGCCTCCCAAAGTGCTGGGATTACAGGGATGAGCCACCAAGCCCAGCCCTAACATTTCTTATAAGATAGGCCTAGTAATGATGCATTTCCTCAGCTTTTGTTTGTCTGGGAAAGACTTTTTCTCTCTATATCTGAAGGAAAGTTTTGTTAGGTATAGTATTCTCAATTTGTAACATTTTTTTCCTTTAGCATTTTCAATCTGTTGTTCAGCTCTCTCCTGGTCTATATGGTTTTTGTTGAGAGATCTGTTGCCAGATGAATTGGAACTGCTTTCTATGTTATTTGCTTTTTTTCTCTTGCTGCTTTTAAGATTCTCTTTGTCCTTGACCTTTGAGAGTTTGATTATTATATTTTTGGGGTCGTCTTATTTGGGTTTAATATATTTGATGTTCTGTGACCTCTTATACCTGGCTATTTATATATTTCTCTAGGTTTGGTAGGTCTTCCATTATTATTTCTTTAAATAGGCATTGTACTCTTTGCTCCTTCTCAATCCTCTCTTGAACACCTGTGAATCTTAGATTTGCTCTTTCAAGGTGTTTTTAAAAATATATATCTTTCAGTCTCTCTCTATTCCTTTCATCTTTCCTCCCCCCTTCTCCTCCCCACACCGCCTTTATCTTGGCTTACTGCAACCTCTGCTTCCTGAATTCAGGTATTTTTCATGCCTCAGCTACCCAAGTTGCTGGGATAACAGGCATGTGCCACCATGCCTGGCTGATTTCTGTATTTTTTTTAGTGAGAAGGGGTTTTGGCATGTTGTCCAGGCTGGTCTCTAACTCTCAGCCTCAAGTGATCTGCCTGCTTCAGTCTCCTAAAGTGCTAGTATTACAGGCATGAGCCATTGTGCCTAGCTAATCTCACTGATTCTTTCTTCTGCTCAATTTCTTTCTTCTTTCTTTCTTTCTTTCTTTCTTTCTTTTTTTTTTTGAGAGCCTCTGTACTTTTTTTTATAGTTCAACAAATGTATTTCTCAGTTCCAGGATTTCAACTCTGTTTGCCATTTGATTTTTTAAAACTTTAATCTGCTTTGTTGTTGTTTGTTTCTTTTTTTCAGACAGAGCCTTGCTCTGTCACCCAGGCTGGAGTGCAGTGGTGTGATCTCAGCTCACCACAACCTCTGCCTCTTGGGTTCAAGAAATTCTTCTGCTTCAGCCTCCTGTGTAGCTTACTGGGATTACAGGTGCACACCACCATGTCTGGGTAATTTTTGTACTTTTAATAGAGATGGGGTTTCACCATGTTGGACAGACTGGTCTTCCTGACCTCAAGTGATCTGCCACTTTGGCTTTCCAAAGTATTGGGATTACAGGCATGAGCCAACATGTGCAGCCAACTTTAATCTCTTTATTAAATTTCTCTAATAAATTTATCAATTGCTTTTTCTATGCTGTTTTTGAGTTCAGTGAATTTTCTTACAACTGCTATTTTGAATTCTTGATCTGAGAGCTCATGTATCACCATCTCACCATGGTATTGATCACCAGTTCCTTGCTTTGTTCATTTGGGGAGGTCATAGTTTCCTGTTTGCTGTTGTTCCTTGTGGGATGTATATTTATGTTTTTGCAATGAAGGATTAGTTTATCTTTACCGTCTCGCTGTTGGACTTTCTAGGTTGTATTTTTGCTTAGAGATTCTTTGCAGTTGCCTGTGATTCTCCTTAATCAAGATTGCTGTCTCCTTTTCAGCACTAGATGGCACCTTAAGCCCAGATTTTCCTCAGCTCTGGCAAATGTTTGCAGTACTGCCCATCTCAGATGGTGGGGTTCTTAGAGGAGATACCTCACCTATGTGGTAAGTCTGGCTAGGGGTTCATATCCAGATAACCTGTGGCATCTGCTTTCTATAGTTTGGTGCTGCTGAACAGCTACTCTGATTTGGTGTCTCCTTTGGCTGAAATGAGTAGTAGTTTTACAAGCTGGAGTTTCTAATTCCACTCCCCTCTTTGTCTTTAGCTGCCCTCAGGGGGGCTTCTCCCTCCAGGCACTAGTGGTGCTTTCTGTGGGTTGAGGCAGGAATTATTTTTCTGAAAGGGAACCCAAGATAATGGGGAAACGGACTATCCATCTCAATCTCACATTTTCAAGAATAGAACAAATGAGACTGAGAGGAATGTTCTGTGCATGGTGCCTGGCAGAATGTGGCAAGGACATCAAAGATAGAAAACTTTATTTTATTGTCTGCTCAGAGTTTTTCATTTCTCTATGTCCCTGGTGTCATTTCAGCCTCATACTTGGCTTCTGAGATGTTGCTTGTGTTAATCTGTGCTCCAGGTGTTTGCTTTTGGTTCTCTGTGGGAAGAGCAAAGGCAGATTGCTTCTACTTTGCCATTTTGTTGATACTCAGAATTCTATTTTTTTCTTTTTTTATTGTTATACTTTAAGTTCTGGGATACATGTGCACAACTTGCAGGTTTGTTAACATAGGTATACAGGTACCACGGTGGTTTTTTGCACCCATCAACCCATCATCTAGGTTTTAAGCCCCACATGCATTAGATATTTGTCCTAATGCTATCCTTCCCTTTGTCCCCCACCCCCACAACAGGCCACGGTGTGTGATGAGAATTGTATTTTTTTCTTATTTATTATTTAGCTTCTTTAACAATAACTCTTTTAAAACATTCTCACTCTTCCTGAGCTCTTGATTACCTCACTCTGTACAGATGATCGGCCTCCTACTTTTAACAGATTTGAGATCATCTTGATGAGTTCTTGAACCTTCCCTCCTTCAAAATCTTGTTTTGAATATTTCTATTTTTCTACCATCTCTCCTCCCTCTTATCTCAGAGGAAGAGATTGTCTTTCAAACATTTTAAGGTTAACTTTTCTACTATTTTTTTAAATCTCCACTGAGGTATTACTTCTCAGTTTCCTTTATTCACTTGCATCTTCAATATTTTCTTCACAGGCTTTTCCTTTTTCTGAGTATACCTAGATTTCTCCCCTAAAATTCTTCCTGTTGACTCCACTTTTCAAACTATTATTTCATTTTCTTTTTACTACAAACTTATCAAAAGTAACCTATGCGTGCTTTTTTCATTTCTCATGTTTACACTGAGTCTTACTGTAATTACTCCACTGAAACTTTTCTCTTAAATACTAATTATAAAATCCTTTGTCTTTCTTTTCACTTTTGATATTCCATGATCTCTCTGTGGCACTTGACACTACCCTTGTTTTATCTTAATTCTGCCCTCTCTTGGCTATGTGGAATTATTCTCTCCTGGAAGTTTTCATTCTCCTACCTCTTTGATTACTTCTTCTTTCCCTTCTTCATCAGTTCCTTTCCTTTCCTTTTTCCTGTTTCCTTTTTCTTCTTTACTTTTTCCTTTCCTTTTTTTCTTTCCTTTTTTTTCCTTTCCCCTTTCCTTTCCTTTCATCTTGGTGTGTTGCCCAGCCTGGTTTTAAACAAACTCCTGGGCTCAAGCATTCCACTCACCTCTCCCTCCCAAAGTGCTGGGATTAAGGCATGAACCATTGCACCAAGCCATCATCAGTACTTTTTCTTATTTCACTTACTGAACAAAAAATTTCTAAGATTTTTGCCCTTGTTTCTTTTCTTTTTAAAATCTACACTTGGTGATCTCATCTTATCTCACAGCTTCCATCATCATTTTTGTTCAACTCTGAATCTATATATTTTTGTCCATATTTCCCCCTTCATATGTTAATCTATGTTTAAAGGCCAAAGTTAAATATATCATCTTCTAAAAAATTATCTCTTCATCTGTAAGTCTCCCAGAGACCCACCAAATTCGTATACAGATCCTTTTTCTTAATCACCTGTCATTAGGACTATGCAGTAAGTTCTCTCTCTTTTTCAATGTATCCTACACACCTCTACCAGATTGTCTCCTAGTGCGTAGTTTTTATTATGTAGTTTGCCTACTCAGAAACTTTTAGTGATTTCTCATGAAGTAAAAATTGAACTCCTTTGTCTAGTGTAAAAAGTCCTCTGTAATTCTCAAAATATATTTTAGAATTACCTACATTAGAATTGCCTGAGATACTAGGTACCAGACTAGATTGTCAAGGATTTGCCTTCTTAATCAGTCTTTATGTGATTATAAAACTTGTTGGCGTCTGCTTTATGATTTTCCTTTGTTTTCTACACAAACTTTACATCATATCACTCAATTTCACATATCTACATTTCTGCAATTTTAATCTTGAAAATGGAATTGATTGTTATTACTACATTTAATTACTTTCCATTTTATTATATTGACCTGATTGTGTATCATGCTTTCTAATGTACCTGCTCTAGCTGTTTCCTTTGTGGAATACCCTCTCTTCTAGGCTCTTTTTCTATCAGGATTTATTCCAAAACTCTTTCCTATTTAAGCTTTTTTGGGGCTGAACTTGAAGTTAATTACCCTTTCTCTGAGAATTTTGTGGCTGTTTTATGGTACTCTTCATAATTACCATAATCAGTTGCTTATAAAGAAGCCTTTTTTTTTTAACCATTTAGACCCTAAGCTCCCTGAGTTCTGTAATCATGTGAGGTATACATTCACTTTGGTAGTCCCCATAGATACATAAACACAAGCTTTGAGGCCTGGAACATAGATGACAGTAGGTATTCAATAACTTTTTAATTTTAATAATAGACTAATTGGCAATTGATCAGTGTACCAAATAGATAGATGGGTGAATATGTGATAATCTTATTCTACCTCATAAAATCTTACTCATTTTTCCTATACTTAAAAGCAAAAAATGAATCTGGAGTTGCTTGCTATTATGAGTTGAAGGGATTATATTTCTGGGAAACTCACTAAGAGTTTACATAAAAAGTTAAGATTAAAAATGCTGATTCCTCTGTCATTAGGACTATGCAGTAAGTTCTCTCTCTTTTTCAATGTATCCTACACACCTCTACCAGATTGTCTCCTAGTGCGTAGTTTTTATTATGTAGTTTGCCTACTCAGGCAAAGAGGAGAAATAAGAATTTTCTAGGTATATTTATAGTCCTGAAGTGCTATTCAAGAACCAAATATCTAAAGGCCTTCTACATTCCCATTTTAAATATTATTTCTGGGTATCCTGAAGTTTAGTTTATTAAGAATTAAGGCATAATTTTAAATAGCTATTTATATTATTTATTTTAAAAATGTAATTTACCCCTCAGGCAGTATTTTTTGTTAGGTTCCAGCAGTTTCTATATATGTACTCTGTATAGGAGCAACCAATTTTCTGATGATCCATTCTGTGTACTAGTTTATCTGTTGGGAAATTAAAGTAGGAGATAGCAGAATAGTACTCTTGAGCATCATTTAAAAGTATGATTACCACATAGCAATGAACAATGCTGTTTTCCCATATCTTTTTAATGAGCAAGTTGTTTGTAGAACCTACCTCTGATGGATTTTCTGTTACTTTGGGTATTATGTTGAGAAATTTGACCTATTTAGCAGAACATTTTTTTAACTGAGAAGTGATTTTCAAAAATATAAGATCTGATAAAGTAGCAAATACTCAGAAGAAATTATATTCTTCCAAATATAGTATTTCTTTTATTTCTTCTTATATATTCTTTCCTTATTGGATGAAATTGATTTATTCAAAGGAATTAGTTAACCCTTGAGTTCCATATTTCTATGGAAGGAGATAGAATATTGCCAACATGTCATTTAAATAAAAATTATAGTATTCATATATATATGTATATTTTTCAATGACAGCAAAACCAAAGGAGTACCCCTGAGATGGAAAGACAGAGAGCTGTGTATCATCTAGCCACTAGGCTTGTTCAAACTGCTCGAAACTCTCAACTGAATCCAGACAGTTTACGAACATATTTAAGTAATCTCAAGAAGAAGTACAAAGAAGATTTTCCCAGGACTGAACAAGTTCCAGGAAAGACTGAAGAATAGTAACAATTTACATCTTGTACTAATGTAATAATTTGTCTTAATTCAAGGAACCTAGAATTTATTTTTCTCCTCAGAGATAAGGAAAATATTTGCTAAATTTCATATTTTAATTGAATAGTACATTACATTAATATCATAATTGTCATCTATATACTATATATGAAAAATATTTATTATAACTTAAATGAGAACTACTTGGAATGGTTTTTATGTTAGGAAAAAGTGTAATATACCACTTTTTTCTCATAAAAATTCACGATTAAAACCTAAGTTTATTTATACTTACAAGTTATAGTTTAAAATATTATTGTAAATACCTTAGGTTAATAAATAACTTTCTCTTTAGGGCTGGAAACTTTTTTTTTTTTTTTTTTTTGGAGACGGAGTTTCACTCTTGTTACCCAGGCTGGAGTGCAATGGCGCGATCTCGGCTCACCGGGATCTCGGCTCACCGCAACCTCCGCCTCCTGGGTTCAGGCAATTCTCCTGCCTCAGCCTCCTGAGTAGCTGGGATTACAGGCACGCGCCACCATGCCCAGCTAATTTTTTGTATTTTTAGTAGAAACGGGGTTTCACCGTGTTGACCCGGATGGTCTCGATCTCTTGAACTCGTGATCCACCAGCCTCGGCCTCCCAAAGTGCTGGGATTGAGCATGAGCCACCGCGGCCAGGTCTGGAAACTTTTATGAGCTTTTATTTTACATTCTATTCTGAAGTAATAATGAAGTAATAATGCCCTGTGACTCAACAATTTATTAATTAGTACCCCACATTCCAACACTGGAAGGTTCTGAAGTTCATCAGAGTAATTTTGGAATCACTCTGCTAAGTGAGTAATCTCAGCCTAAAGGCCTAACATTGATAAGTTATTCTTTTCTTGGGCAACTAAGTATCTGAAATTCAAGGTATACATTTGAACCATTTATACAGTAAGTTACTGTATTCATGGTAGTTTGACACCCTAACGTTATTCACAAACCACTTAGGGCCATATTTTATTCTATAATATTTAATATTAATAATTGTTGACTTTATTAAACTTTCAGCATTCTAAGTAAATATTAATAGCCAAGTATATTGAAAAAGTTATAATTTAAATAATACATGTATTATTTTGGAAAAGTAAATGTAAATTTTTTATTTGTTTTACATTCAATTCAACATATATTAAATGTCTTGTTAGATTACTTATATTCCCTATTGTCATGTTTTAGAAAAATTATCACAATATTTATACTTGACTATTAACTATGTTTTCATTCACAGCCTCTGAAATAAATACTATTTGGTGTGGTCATTTCTAAAGTCAGGTAATTTAGGCTTGTGGCAAATTTCAAGAAGACACTGAAGAAGAAAAGGGCATGGCAGATTGTTTGGGGTGGCAGGAAGGAAAAGAGGAAGCAATAAAAGGTAGAAGAGGAGGAGTCAGTGGGGAAAAAAAACAGACAAGCAGAGACAGGTGCAACATATCAAATATGCTGAATATCATTTCCTCAAATACATTAACTTGTTTTTAGATTTAACCTCAATGTTAGATTCCACCTAACTTTTAAAAAATTTTTCATCATTTAAAGCTTTTGATGCAAAATCCGCAGCCAAATGATTAATGTCTTTTATTTTAGAATTGAGATACTGAAATAAAAATAGGCTTATGTCTTCTTAAAATTAAATCACTTTTTCTGAAACCATTTTGTGTGTAGCAGAAATATACAAAAAAGCATCAAAGATATAATTATTATGTCATGGGACTATGGAATGAAGGCGAATACTGGGGAGAGAATTCATTTCTTAATTTTAAGATCTGTTTGCTTTACTCTTTTGTTACTCTTTGCCTTTGCCTTTTTCTAATATTATAGATCATTATCTCATAATCCAGTCTTTCAAGGTAAATGCCCATAATGTGTTAGCAAACTCCTTTAATAACACCCTTAAGCCATTATTTTAGTCTGTTCCACCTTTCTCCTCACAGGATAAAATCCTACATAAGATACTCTTTTTTCAAGTTTAGGGGCAAAATATGCGGGGGTAGAGAAGAAACACAGTTTATTCTCATACCTAGGAAATAATGCACTTAGTTTTACATTTATATTCAGTAAAATTAAATTTTTGATGTATGGTCTTATGAATTTTGTACATTTATAGATTCATATAACTACCAGCAAAATCAGAATACAGAACAGTTCCATCACCCCAAAAGACTTGCTTGGTGCTGTTCCTTTGTAGTCAAATCCTTCCCTGACCCTTCATTTTAACCCATCAATCATAGGCCTGTCTTCTTTCCCTATAGTTTTGGGTTTTTTTCCCAGAATGTCCAACAAATGAATCTATATAGTGTGTAACCTTTTGAGACTGGCTTCTTTTGCATAATGCATTGGAACCTTTACAAGTTGCTGTGCCTTTTTATTGCTGACAACTATTTCATTGTTTATATGTGCCAGTTTGTTGTCCTTTCATTCATTGAAGGTCATTTGAATTTTTAGTTTTCATTGATTATGAATAAAGGCACCGAAAACCTTCCTGTAAAGGGTTTTTGGGGAGCATAAGTTTCATTTATCTAGATTAAATAGGAGTGAAATAGCTGTGTCATATGGTAAGTGTATGTTTTGATTCATAAGAAGCTGCCAGACTTTTCCAGAGTGGCTATACCATTTCTCATTCTCTTTTCTTTTCTTTTTTTTTTTATCTCTTTACCATTTCTCATTCTCGTCAGCTATGTGTGAGTTCCAGTTGCTCTTCATTTTCACTAATACTTGGTATTGTCAGCTTTCTTTTCCTTTTTTAATTGATCCATTTTAATAGGTGCGTAGTGAGTAATGCTTTTTTTAAAAAAAATTAAAGCTATTCTGATAATTTTTTCAGCCAGCAGTGACTTTTTTTATGTTTTTTTTTAACTGCTTTTAGTCGACCCTCTCTGATAGCATATTTTAACATCTGTTTCTTCAAGCAAAAGTTTTAGAATAAGTATTACTTTTAGAAAACCATAAAACAAATCTAATTCAATAACTATTATCTATGGACCAGGCAACATATTAGGTGTTGGTAGTACAAGAGATAGGACATTTGACTTTGAGACCCTCAGGTGTAATAAAGAGAAAAAATACACATATATTACCATTGGAGCACTATGTGATAAGTACCATAATAGAGAAATGTTTAAGGCAATGGAACCAAGAGTCTGCAACGTTTGTTGGTCAAAAGGAATTTAAAAGATAAGATATATTGGGTTTTTAGGAAGGAAAATTAACTCCAGATGGATTAAAGACTTAAACATAAGACCTAACACCATAAAAACCCTAGAAGAAAATCTAGGCAAAACCATTCAGGACATAGGAGTAGGCAAGGACTTCATGACCAAAACACCAAAAGCATTGGCAACAAAAGCCAAAATAGACAAATGGGACATAATCAAACTCCACCACTTCTGCACAGCAAAAGAAACAGTCATTAGAGTGAATCGGCAACCAACAGAATGGGAAAAAGTTTTTGCAGTTTACCCATCACAAAGGGCTGATATCCAGAATTTACAAAGAACTAAAACAGATTTACAAGAAAAAAAACAAGCCCATTCAAAAATGGGCAAAGGATATGAACAGACAATTTACAAAAGAAGACATACATGAGGCCAACAAACATATGAAAAAATACTCATCATCACTGGCCATTAGAGAAATGCAAATCAAAACTACATTGAGATACCATCTCATGCCAGTTAGAATGGTGATCATTAAAAAATCTGGAGACAGCAGATGCTGGAGAGGATGTGGAGAAATAGGAACACTTACACTGCTGGTGGGAGTGTAAATTAGTTCAACCATTGTGGAAGACAGTATGGCAATTCCTCAAGGACCTAGAAATAGAAATTCCATTTGACCCAGCAATCCCATTACTGGGTATATATCCAAAGGATTATAAATCGTTCTACTATAAGGGCACATGCACACGAATGTTCATTGCAGCACAGTTTACAATAGCAAAGACCTGGAACCAACCCAAATGCCCATTGATGATAGACTGGAAAGGGAAAATGTGGCCCATACACACCATGGAATATTATGCAGCAATAAAAAAAGATGAGTTCGTGTCCTTTGTAGGGACATGGATGAATCTGGAGAACATTATTCTCAGCAAACTGACACAAGAACAGAAAATGAAATACCACATGTTCTCACTTATAGGCGGGTGATGAACAATGAGAACACATGGACACAGGGAGGGGAGCACTACACACTGGGGTCTGTTGGGGGGAATACGGGAGGGACAGTGGTGGGGGGAGTTGGCGAGGGATAGCATGGGGAGAAATGCAAGATGTGGGTGAAGGGGAGGAAAGCAGCAAATACCTATGCAACTATCTTGCATGTTCTGCACATGTACCCCAAAACCTAAAAGGCAATAAAAAAACCTGTGTATAATATGTACTTCTAAATATGCTAAGTTATAAATATTTTAATAAAGTATATAAACATTTCTATAATTCAATCCTATAATGTATTTTTACTTCACCTAAATGAAAGTGAAGGGCAAGAAAAAGCAAGTAATCTGGTTATATTGCTCCATGTCTTTGCTACTTTACTATTTACATTCTGTTCTTTAGAAACTGTAATAATAATATTTACACAGTTTATGTTAGTATAGGACCAGAGTGAAGACTCTTTCTATGAATTGTCACACTTTGATAGTACCCAGTCTGTGAGTGGACAGTGGAAACTGCTACTATCTGCCATAATTTGATAAGACAGGTCCTAAAATATATAGTGAAAAGATGGGAACCGGTGCTTATTGTCAAGAACCGTGACAAGTTTGATATTTTTACCCTAACTGCAAGTAAGCAGTTTAGCCTGCCATATCTTCATGCTTGCTGTCAGAGGACAAGAAACTCCTGGTTAGAAACAAAGGATTTTATTACTAATGGCATTAGCAAGTAGCATAAGATTCATGCTTGTGTCAATTCCACTTAAATCCACCCTCCAAGATATGGAGTGGTCCAAGTAGATGTGGACACATTAGATTTGTGTCATAGCTGAGGAGCTGAGAACTCTGTTTTCTTAGGTAAGTTTCTTCTTGATGAAAGAACATACAGATTTAACCTATATTTTCATTTTGATGTAATTTGGATCAAAAGAGTTCTTTTCTCTTTGTGTAAAACGCATATAATTTATTCCATTGTATGGAAGGTAGTAGGTAGAGTCACATATTGATTAAAAAGTTATCCAATTAAGATGTTGTGTGAAAATATATTTTCTAAATGCATGTTCAGTGCAATAAAAAGTTACTTGAAGTTAATTTTTATTAACTTCTAAGCCATACATTGGTAAGCGTTGTTAAGGAACTTAGGACATTGATGTGTCTTAGATTTCTAAATTCAGATAGTTCTGTAGACGAGCAGGAATTAGAAGTGAAAATATTCCATTTGGGAGCATATTGTTGGTTAATAGTTGATTCCTGATGGTTACTCTGCAAAGATGTAATAGTTCACATGGATCTTTGTATCTTGTTGAAGGAATGTAATCAAACCAATTTGAAATAATTGGACGTCTTCCTAAACTCAGCTGTGTCTGCAGAAAAGCAAAATATTTTACTTTTATAATGTTTTGTAATTTGGATTAGTGTAAATTATTAACACTTATTTTTAATTTAAATTTAGAAAATAGATTACAAATTTATAAAACCCTTATAACTTTTTTCCAAAGTATTTTTACTTGAGGCAAGTATTTTATTTGCATTTTTTCACAAGGATAAACTTTAAATAATCTATATGTCTAAGGACACAAGGCAAAATTTTTTTACAACTATGGATCTGAACAAGTTTTTAATTTTAGTTGGATTCTACTTATATTTCATCAACTTCTTCCTGTAGAGTAGTTATGGTTGACTTAGCCACATAGTAAAATTATCTGTGAAACTATAAAAAATACCAGTGCTCAGGCCCTACTCCACAAATTCTGATTCAACTAGTCTGGGATTGGACACAGACAATGTAAGTCCTAAATGTTTCCCAGGAGATATCCATTGTAGAATAAGATTTTCATTATAGAGTAAAGCTTCATATATAAGAAGACCCAGGAGGCCCGTCCAAATGAAAAGTTGTCTTTTTTTTTTTTTTCCATAGAGACGAGGTCTCACTGTGTTGCCCAGGTTAGTCTTGAACTTCTGAGCTCAAGTGATCCTCCTGACTTGGCCTCCCAAAGTACTGGGATTACAGGCCTGGGCCACCGCACCCAGCCTAAAGATGTCTTTTAAAGGTTTAGAAAGGCATCTTTAAAAATTAATCTTACAGGTCAAATGTCAATAGATTGACTTAGGAGGAAAAGACATTGCTGTATTACAGAAATATTCTCCACTAGAACATATACTCTACTGGCTACATGACACATTTCTTATCTAATTATATTACATATATAATGCATTCATTATTTTATTCAATTATTTAACTATTAAAGAATAAATACTTAACATTGTGGTAGGTGCTTGGGATAATTGCTAGGGTAGGTAAAATAGACACAGCCTCTGTGCTTGCAAGACTCATGGTGTAGAGGTAGAAACATCTAAACATATTTACAATAAAAAATATGTACTGTAATAGGGAAAACTACTGGGAAGTGTCGAAATGCAGAACAGAGGTATTTAAAGTGTTCTTTACGCAGTTTTAATGCTGCTCTTTACCTTCTTGCTCAATGCCATTTCACTTTCTTAAACTGCAATTGATTGGAACCCAGCTATAAATTTTTTGCCACTTAGGCAGGTGATTTTGGTCAACTCACTCTATCCTAGTGCTTTTCTACTGGGGTTGTATCTCAGGAATAGCATTTATGTAACTTGCTGAGAATTTATATGTTATGTAAAAATTGTGCAGGACTAATACTGGACCAAGGACAAGCAAGCTTCTGAAAATGAAAAAAAAAATCTTTTTGTTTTAAAAATATGTTGGCAAAATAATTTAATAAATTTGCTTTGCTTACAGTTGGCCCAGGCATTCCTTTAAAGGTTTAGAAAGGCATCTTTCATTGCTGAGGCATTAAAGAAAAAAAAAAGCAGTAGAGTTATATCTTTTATGAGTTTATTTCTGAAATCACATCCTTAAAGGATAGGGGACTGCTGGATTCCTTCTTAATATGATTGGTTTAGATTTATAGGGGTAGCTTTCTCTCTATTAAATGGACTTATTTCTTGCTACTAATGGGAATAATTCAAAATGATACTGACACTTGCAGTTCATTTTGACAGGGGAAACATACGCTATATGCTGTTAATTATTCTCTCTAAACTTGGTATATTCCAGAAACCTTACCAAGGAGATCATCACATGTCCGAGGGTTAGATATTTTCGATTGAACAAATAAGCCTTTATTTATATTTTTATAATGCTTGACATTGCTTTGAGAACTTTAATGCAAAAATCTGTTTTTTGACATACGATTATATTTGTGGGGAGAAATGTAACCCTCATTTTGAAATATTCAACTAGAAAGGAGGTCTGTTAAATTTTTTTGATTCTGTTGTTAAAGGACAGAAATCTTAAAGTTTAAAAAATATCATTAGGATATAATATATATCTACTTAATACTAAAATACATATAACTTAAAATTCTTTCATATTTCTAAAAACATAAGAAGTAAAGAACTGTTTGAGATTTTCCCTATTATTTTTATTTTATTTTATTTTATTTTGAGACGGAGTTTCACTCTTGTTACCCTGGCTGGAGTGCAATGGCGCAATCTCGGCTCACTGCAACCTCCGCCTCCTGGGTTCAGGCAATTCTCCTGCCTCAGCCTCCTCAGTAGCTGGGATTACAGGCACGCGCCACCATGCCCAGCTAATTTTTTTGTATTTTTAGTAGAGACGGGGTTTCACCATGTTGACCAGGATGGTCTCATCTCTTGACCTCGTGATCCACCCACCTCGGCCTCCCAAAGTGCTGGGATTACAGGAGTGAGCCACTGCGCCTGGCCCTTCCCTATTATTTTTATTAATTGACATATACTCAGTGATCTGTCACTGGATGTAATCTGTAAATTAAAAATTAACTGAATTATAGAGTTGAATCTTAAGATTCACCGATATTTATGCCTTTTCCCCCCACTAAAAACAACAGTATTTTGCTTACCTCTATTTCCTTGACTGAAATGACAGAAAGTACTCTGGAACATAGTACCAAACATGTTTTGGCATCTTCGTGGATGTCAGCCAATTCACGATCAACCAATACTCTCACTCTTGAAGGGTAGAGTACTATTGTTAAGACAATGTTGATAGGGTTTTTTTCTCTTTCTAAGATTCCATATTGCAGTAATATTTTCAAGATATTAGACTGTCTTGTCTGAGCTACGTAAAGGAGAGGTGTGATGCCACTTAATGGGCTTGGACAGTATACTGGTGTGAAAGTTCTGTGAATTAAACAAAACAAAACTCATTGGATATAGAATTAAGAAATGTGACACTCTGTCTTACTAGTAATGGGTAAATAATATTATTATCTTAAATGTTAAATGTCTTCAATGTAGCTTTATATATTACTTAAAAAAAGTTTTTCACTCTATGAATCTAGACCAAACTGAAGGTTAAAACTCCTACCAAACAGTTAAACCCCCTTTACAGTTGTAAAAATAAGCAGAATCAATTTATCATATATGTAAAGTGTTTACTTTTAGTCATAGCAATTGTAGTTGAGAAACCTATAGTGCTTAGGACAGTATTACAAAGCTGATGTAGCTCTGGAAAAAATAAAATGGAAAAGAAGGACAGATTAATTTTATTAATAGAAAAGAATGTGATCAGTTGCATATCTTTTTGTTTTTGTTCTTCTTGATCATATATCAGACATGAGCTTGAATTGAGTTTGGAGATTAGGAAAGGAGTAAATGCAACTATCTTTATTCTATGTTTTCACTTTAATAAAATTAGAATTGGTTGGGCTTAGGAAATGTAAATTATAGAGAGAGCTGTATCACATCCCTCAAGGGCAGAATTTTCTTCTTGAGTAAAAATTTGAGTCTCCTCTGAAATCTTATTTTTCCTAGAGTACCACATGAAGGCTAGAGTTAAAAATTTCCCTTCCCTTATGACAGAAATGAAAATTTTATTTTTTTCTAATGGTATATACTTCTTCCAGTTGTTTCCTTTAATAGACTTTTATGCTGTTATGTTGGTCAGTGTAACTATTGTTGTGGTGTCCTTGACCACAGGGGATTTTATCAGCAAGCCATAATTATTAGCAAGCCATAATTTTGCCAAGTAATGTGGTTTTTAGGCTGACAAAAGTGAAATTTTATTAATGATTTTTGTCTCTGGAATTCCCTTTACTGGCCTAATAAAATACAGCAGAAAAGCACAGAAAGTATAAATATTGATTTTAGACAACTACTCAGAGCAAGGAAAGTCTTATGAAAAAAGGGGAACTTTGGGGCTGGGCGTGGTGGCTCATGCCTGTAATCCCAGCACTTTGGGAGGCTGAGGCGGGAGGATCACAAGGTCAAGAGATCAAGACCATCCTGGCCAACATGGTGAAACCCTGTCTCAAAAAAAAAAAAAAGAAAAGAAAAGAAAAGAGGGGAACTTTAACATTGCATATATAGTACTTAAGTAAAATGGTAGGCAGCATGGTATAATGTTATAAACAACAGAGACAAGTGTTCTAGGTTCTAAGTTTTGACTCTTCTAATTGTGCAAGTTGTGTGATCTTGGGCAAGTTGGCCTCTTTACATCTGTTTCCACAAGCATTTATGTACTCATTTGCTCATTCCCTCATTACCTACTTAACACTTGCTTGTCTAGAGTGCACAGAGGAGTAGATACACCGAGATGAAAGATATAGTTCTTGATTATTATTATAATCTAGTAAGGAAAACACAAGAAATTGTATAAAAGCAATACAAGGTGATAATCACAATGATAGAAGCATGTTTAGGTACTGTAGTAGCACTGAGGAGGGGTATCTAACTCTATCTGAAATGGTCATTTTCTGTATGTTATCCAGAAACCGATTTGAAAGATGAGCAGGTGTTTTCCAATAAAAAGATTCAAAAGAATGTTTTAGGCACGAGCATAAACCAGCACTGGAGGATTGCTATACCTGTGCCAGCTATAGAAAATTAATGTTTTGTAATAGATGAGCTGTTTTCAAACTGTTTTTGAAGAATCTGACAAAACCAAGAAAAGAGAGTTTTTCTGGTTGAAGTCCTAGAGCCCTTACCCCTACTGGGTCTTGTTTAGGAATCCAAAAAGTATATAGTAGGAAACTAGTTTATGTCCAGAGCTTCACCAAATTCTGATGCAAGAATTTTGTAATTAAAAAAATAATGTAGTGTAGTGCAAAGTAGCATTTTAGAAATCAAGATGTAAGTTTTTGTCATAACTCTGTCACTGGGACTATACTTTTATATATGTATGTATGTATGTATGTGTACACAAATATGTATACAAAGAGGATATATATGTATGTATATACATATGAATATGGATATGTATTATTTCCTCTCTCTCCTGGAATCATCTCCAGATCAGTAATGTCCTGGACATCTCATCCTTTCTTTTTATAAATACTTCCAACACATAGAGAACTTCTAAACTACTTCTCTTTCTACATTATCTACCATTGGTATGCAGTTTTCCAAACCGCCACTGCATCCAGGTCTTTCACATTTCTTTGCTTTATATATATTCTTCTCCCCCACCTTTTTTTTTTTCAATTTTGCGGTAAGTCTAGCTCATCTTTATGAGATCTTGTCTAATAAACTCTTTTATGAAGTTTTCTTTGATTACCCTGATACACCTCATACTCCTCAGGGCACTTTGTACATAACTACATTAAATTTGTATCATGGCCAGGAGTGGTGGCTCATGCCTGTAATTCTAGCACTGTGGGAGGCTGAGGCAGGTGGATCACCTGAGGTCAGGAGTTTGAGGCCAGCCTGACCAACATGGAGCAACCCCATCTCTATTAAAAATACCAAATTAGCCGGGCATGGTGATGCATGCCTGTAATCCCATCTACTCTAGAGACTGAGGCAGGAGAATTGCTTGAACCCAGGAGGTGGAGGTTGCATTCTAGGCTAGGCAACACGAGCGAAACTCCATCTCCAAAATAAATAAATAAATAAATTTGTATCATTTGGAAAACTTATTTAACATCTCTAAACTCTCATTTTCTCATCTTCAAAATAAATGGTTAAGCAAAACAATCTACAAAAGTGTAAGCTCCCAAAACACAGTAATTTTCATGTTAATTCAGGACTATATATTTATTTAAGTGCCTAGAACAATGCTGGGCCCACATTAGGCACTCAAATATTTGTTAATTGGGAATTTTTTACTGGAAATTTTGACTATATATATGTGATAGTAAAAAATTCCTTGAATTTGTCCTGTAGCTTTCAGGCCTAACAAGATTTTTGTTGATGTGCAATTACTTAAACTTTTCAAAGGCAATTCAATGTATTCATCTCGCTAGTCCTTAAGAAAATATTTGACTTAAGAACCCTATAAGTATGGGAATTTGAGAGACTTAGGAGACAAAATATACCATAAGTGGTCATTATTAAGATTTAGAGATATTAGTGGATTCTAAGATATTAAGATTGACATTACCTTTAGAAGATATTGAATGAATACTGAAAAACGTTGGAAACATGAATAAAACTCAAATATATTTAAAATGAGATTTAAAAGTCTAATCTGTACCCAAATGACATATGATTAATCCTCATGTTTAAAGAGTATGTTACTGTAAACCAGAATTTGCTTAATCTGTGGTGACAGTTAATTATAGCAGTACTTATATGGATGAAGTACAGCAAGCAAAGCAAGAATCAGTTTTTAAATGTGAGGTTAATGAACTGAGCCCTTGGTATCTGAAAACCTGTCATAATGCTTATGAAATGGGGCACAATATTTTCATATAGACACTCAGAGAATGATTCTGTTTTTTAGCTATAATTATTTCTAATTTTTTCCCATCTCATTCTCCTTCTGTTTCTGAAAAATCTGATAGATGCTTCCCCATAACAATTTTATGTGTGTGATATTTCACGTAATTGACTTTCTTAACACTTTGTTTTCCTGTTACTCAGTTGGGCTAGTCTCTCCAAGTGACCCATTTATCTCTTTGGGTATTTCTCCTCAACTGTCTCTCACTGGCTCCTCTTCCTCTGCCCTCAACATCCAAGTAAGTATGCATGGCCTTTAGACCAATTTTATTTGACTATTCTCAGGAAAGTTCATTTACGACCATACTTCAATTCCTGTCCATTTATTTATTTCAACAAAGATTGAATGCATACTATATGCCAGGAACTGTTTTAGGGGCTTGGGTTATATCAAGAAACAAAATAAATATCCCTACTGTCTTTCTTATATCATAGTGAATGATTAACAAGAATATAGGATGAACATAGTAAACAAGCAAATTTTATATTAGATGCTGACAAGTGCTTGGGAAAAAAAAAAGTAGAGCAGAGTAAGTATGGGTATGCTGTGGGTGGATACAATTAGGGCATTTAAAAATATTAAATAGGATGATAGGAGAGTACATTATTGAAAGATGACATTTGAACAAAGACAAGAAGGAAGTGAGGAAGTTAACCATTTGGATATTTCATGGCCCTTTGGTGGAAGAGTGTGCCTGGAGTGATGAAGGGAGAATAAAGGAACCTGTGTGGCTCAAAGAGAACAGAGGTAATGGGATGCCACATTATTTAGAGCTTTATGGGTCACTGTATGAACGTCCCCTTTTACTCTATAGCAAATGGACAAGCCATTGGATGTTCTGAGTAGAAGAGTAATGTGATCTGCCATTTGTTGAGAATTTGTTATAGGATAGAAGGAAGGAAATCACTTAGCTTGGAACATAGTAGTGTAGGCAACCAGATGCTGTATATTATTTGCAGGTAGAACCAACAGATATCCTAACATAGATGTGAGATGTAAAAGAAACATTAAGGATGGCACTGTATGTCCAGCCATGTACTTCACATCTCTACCTGGATATCCATTAGGTAGTGCAAACTCATATTTCCAAAACTTAGGTTTTTTTGTAATATTTTATCTTGATAAGTTTGTGGCATGACCATTTTGGTAGGCTGAATAATGGCTTCTCAGTATGGCAAATATGACTTTGCAGAAATGATTAAGATCTTGAGGTGGGAGATTAACTAGGTGGGCCCATGTAATTCCAGAAGTCCTTGTAAGTGCAGAGAATGTTGGAAGCAGAGTCAATGAATAAGATATGATGACATTATAGTGCTAACTTTGAAGATGAAGAGGCCATCAGCCAAGGAATGTAGATGGCCTCTGAAAGCTGGCAAAGGCAAGGAAACAGATTCTTCCCTAAAGCCTCCATAAGGGACCAGACCTACTAACAATTTGATTTAGCTCTGTAAGACTCATTTTGGACTTCTGATCTCCAGAACTATAAGAACTAAACTGTAAATTTGTGTTGTTTTAAGCCACCACGTTTGTGGCAGTTTATTGCAGGAGCAACAGGAAACTAATACAATTTTCAACCACTCTCAAAATTTAGAAATCTGAAGATTAACTCTTTTTTCTCTTAGATCCTCCAATTCTGATCACTTACTGTGTCTTGCTATTTTGTCTAAAGATCTCTCTCCTTTCTCCCACTGCTATTGTTTCAGTTTAAGTTATCATTATAATTTACCTGGACAGTTGTAGTATCAAAGGGCGACTGTAGGTTGGGAGGTATGTTGGCAGAGCAGAATTCGTTCTCCCCTCAAAACTATTATAAATACACGTGTAAACTAAGTACACACACTATGCATGCTATGCAAATTCAGCCTCAGGGATCTTCTCTAATCACTTCCCTTTGAAAAAATTAGATCACTTTCCCCCAACTCTTCCTGCATAGAACACTGTACTTGCAGTACTTGAGTAGTCTGCTAACTGGTTTCCCTACGCTAGCTGCAACCTATGTTCCCAAAATCGAGTATTCAAATGGGGGCTGATGAATCTTTTTAATTCTACAAGTTGACCTTCACTGGCCAGGCGTTACCTGTGGTATCAATTTCATGTTCCTCAGTCTGGTCTACAAAGTCCTTCATTCTTTCAATTCCAGTCTTCATTTCTCTTACTACCTGATTCGGATCTCACTCTCTAGCTATTACTAAACTGCTTGTAGTCATTGGATACAACAGTGTTGTTTGTGTCTCCCTTAGTTTCAGTCATCCTCTTTCTGTCTAGATTACATGTCTTCAAGGGAACAAAATAAAAACTCTCCATTGTCTTTTAAAAATCAGTTTAAGACATCACCTATTCTAGTGAGCCTTCTCAGATACCTATTCCTCCCTGTTAACAGTTTCCTTCTCTGCTCTCTCTACCTGTACATGCTTCTATTTTTGTACCTATGGAGTAGTTATAATTGCTGTTTGCCTTTATGCCTCACTTCCAGTATGTAAGCTCTCTAAAATCAGGAAATATGTCTACTTTGTTTTTGTATCCCCAATAAATAACATAGTGCCTGGCACTTAGAAAATGCTTAATAAATTATTATTGTTATTTGGAATGGAATGACATTTTGTCTCTTAAGTCACCTACAATCTGTCACACCGTGGCATTTAGATGTTTTTTGCAGGTTTGTGGTGAAAATGAACAAACTTGAATTTCTTTCCCTCATTAATTCTATCTCCTCTCCTCCAGAGAGATATAATAGGGAACTTATCGAATTAGAGTGTAAACAAGGGAGGATGACCAAAGAATGATATTGTCAAAGTCAAGAACAACGGGAAATTTGTAATATTCATCATGAGGACATAATAGGTGTGTTCAAATATTTGAGAAGTTTTCATTTAGAAAAGAGTTAACAAATTGATCTTTATGGCTACAGGGGCAGTGTTGGAGAAATGCACGCAGATTTCAGCATAGTACGAGAAAGAATAATCAAATAAAGGTGTTTCAAAATTCACTAATTCAACAAAATCTTGATTGAACAGTTGCTATGTATCTGACATAGTTTTACACACACTATTCATAAGGATAGCGAGCAAACAAACCAATGAAACAAGGAACAACAGTAAATAAACAGGTCAGTGATCAGTGGATGCAGAGAATTAAAGTAAAATACTATGATAATGACTAAGTGGTTTCTTTAGATCGTGTGAGTAGGAAAGGCCTCTTTGAGAAGATGATACTTATACTGTGACCTAGCTGATGAGGAGGAAGATCCAAATTTTTCAGGCAGAGGGAACAGTATTATGAGGCCTTCCCGGCAGGAATGAACTTGGAAAAACAAGGACCCCCAAGGCAAAGGAATGGTTTACCTCAGGAAATAGTTAACTCATTACTACTAGAATTGCTCAAGAAGAGACCAATGAGCATCAACCAGTGATGCCCTGCAGAGGGTTGCTGTCCAGAGTAAAGGTCTGCTAATGAATTCTTAGGCTTCATCCAAATTTAAAATTCTATGATTCTGAAAGGTCCAAATGATGTTGTGATCAGTAGAACTGGCCTGTAATGGGTTATACCTTGTGCATGCATCTAAATTGAAATTTATTAATTTTAAACCTGTCTTAAGACAGTTATTAATGGTACTCTATCATGTTCTACAATGTTTCTCTTTGTTTCATTTTCCTTCCAGCTTTCCTCTCTGTACTTCCTTTTCTAATTTGTAAAAATTTATTCTCTATCCCTCTGTTTGACTCCATTTTTCTTTCTCATGGGCCTTTCAGGGTTATAGACAGGCACTACTTAGCCCAGCTAGTGACAGTCAGCTTTAGAAGCTTTGCTGATCTCTTCCGTAGTTACAAATATAATAGTTGCTTAAAACACAAAGAAGTACTATTCGGTGGTTTTGTTTACTGTTGTTTCCAAACCACAGCTGTCAGTTCATGTACTTTAGTAATCATTAAGAAATGAAATCCAGTGGTTCTCCAATACCACAGTGATGCACAAACAAGGAAAAACTCTGCTTTAGGCAGAACCTAAATTGATTTAGTCTTTAACTGATTTTGTCACTTTTGTTTTTCATTGCATACATGCATCTATCATTGCACCTAATACGGTGCTGCATACATAGAAAAGTGATCAATAAATACTTTGCTGAATGAATGAACACATGCATATTTGTTTTATTCAGATGAATATCTAAAATCAAAGAATAAATTAAAGTTAGTGCAAACTAGGTAACTTTAGAATCTATATTACAGGCTCTATCAAGATGATACATTGGAGATTTTATTTTCATGAGATCCTCAGTAGTATGCATTAGGTAGATTGATATGTGAAGCCTATAAAAATTTGGCTCTATAATAGATAGCATCAGGTACTTGACCTTCATTATGCTCAAATTTGGAGAATTTGGGGTCCAATTTATCAATGTTTAACACACAAATAGAGAATTGCTGTGTTTAATAAGTATTACTCTGTGAAGATGTATGCATATTCCCAATTGTACTTTGAAAGTCAGCTTATAAACATATATAAATATAAAATCTCAGGATTCTCAGAAATAGGAGATCATAGTGTTATATAATCAGTGTCTTTGTTTAGAGAAACTTGTTGTTTAGCACTAACATGTAGACTGTGTAGAACAGAATCACTAATGATTTATAGGTACATAATAATGTACATATAGGTAAAAATGAAATACATAAAGAGTAAAGGAGTGAACAAATGGTCAAGCAATTAGGTGAGAATTCCTTATTTCACATACAGCCACTATTCATATTAATTTTAGAAAAAAGAAGCACTTTACTCTCCTAAAGATAAATTTTCTTATTCTATAGTGAAAACATGTGAGATTATTACCTCCATATCAGTGCCAGGTTACAGCTTCTGTCTTGAACATAGTTTTTTGTCTTCTTGAGAAGCAATTCCACGAAGTCAGGATTACCTTTTCTGGCAAAAACCCAGAACAGAATTGTATTCACACATATTTCGGTAAAGTCGAGGTTAAAACTTACTTCAAAACGATATCCTGATTTTTCCACAAATGCAATGTAATCTGTGAGTAGTGAGTCAAAACCATCCAAGTCCACATGCTTCAGAATTTTTGCCAGTGACCTGTAAATCCTAGGTTCATAACAGTGATATCCCCACTGACCCAAAAACTGCAAAGAGGGTCTTTTAACAATTTTGTCAAGGAGATTACAGAATATATTGCTTCTTGGACAAGAAGTCTTACGACATAATTTAGTCGATTTACTCATTGTTACTTATAGCAGCAGTGTAGAAATAAAATCAGAGGTAAGCATACTGTAATCCTCCAGTTACATAGTTTGATGATGTGGTAGGCTTTACTCCACAAACAGAAGTGCCCTTTAAACTGTAACCAGGAAAAATATGTGAGATATTACCATAAAGTAATGGATGACATCACAATAGGTGATTTGTCACCAGCATAGGTCAGAGATTGGAGCTATTATATGTAACTGGTGACATTTGAAAGAGACATGTTGGACAGAAATGGCATGCATGAAAGCTAAGATAATATATTTAATTTTCTAAGAATTCAGTTCAAGGTAGCCGGCATATTTCTCAAGTTCTGCATGTTTCTGCAGTAGACTAAATAATAGTAATAAACAGATTAATTATCCTTTGTGGACATTATATAAGCAGAAAATGATTGCTAGACTGAATAAATTCAACTGTTGTTCACATGTTCTGCATGAATACCTATGCTCTTAATCATCATCGACTATTTTCCCCTATCTTATAGTTGAGGAAATTGAGGCTTCATGGGTAGTTTTTGTTGTTTTTTGTTTTTGTTTTCTGAGCAGGGTCTCAGTCTGTCACCCAAGCTGGAGTGCAGTGGTATGATCATGGCTCACTGTGGCCTTGGCCTCCTGGGCTCAAGCGACTCTCCCACCTTTTTCCCAAGTAACTGGGACTACAGGCATGCAATGCCATGCCCAGCTAATTTTTGTATTTTTTGTAGAGACAGAGTTATGCCATGTTGGCCATGCTGGTCTTGCACTCCCAAGCTCAAGTGATCTGCCTGCCTCAACCTCCCAAAGTGCTAGAATTACAGGCTTGAGGCCCTTGTCTGACTGAGGCATACATAGGTAAGGTAACTTGTCAGCATATTCATCTAAGTAACCCATTTATTTTATTTAAGAGAAAGGATGTCATACAATATTAACCAAAATTTAAAGACTTTGTTTTAGAATTTTAAATTTTAGAGAAATTTTCCTCTATAAACCAGGCAGAATGTATACAATTCAGGCATGAAAGGTACTTCAAGCTTGATATGGTGCCCTTGCCCCAGTACAATAAAGGGGAAAGATGTTACGGTTGTTTTTATCATTATTCTGTAGTTAATTTTTCAGCCACCTTTTTATACCATTCACAGAGTGATCAGAGTTAACAACCTTGGGTATATATATTAGCATTTTTAAAGGTAATTAAATATTTTCCTTTTCCTTTCCATATTTTTCTTTCAGTCACATGAATGATGTCTCTTTAGTAAGCAAAATTATAACTTTAGATTTACTATAGTTCCACTAATACTGCATTTTATTTTATAAACTCTAAACTGTCTTTTTCCAGCTGGACAACCTAATTAAACTAACTACATATTGTCATCTTTCTGAAAAGCAAATTTTGTTGTTTTCTTTCGCTTTTTCTGTTCTAATTTTTTTGCCTCAAAAAAATTTTTATTTTATTAATTTCTTAATACATAAAACTTACAAAAAGTGGAAACATTATAGAGCCAGTAAAAATTCCTCCCTTAGATAATCATGCTAGCAGTTTTATGTATAGCCTTTTAAATATATTTTTGCTTATGCGTGTATAAAATTTTGTCATTTTTTTAAAAAAGAATAATACCTAATCTGAAAAATTTTTGTCATTTTTATACAAATAGGATAACATTATACATATCCTTTTTTATGAGTTGCTTTTTATTTCTATAACAATGTATTATTATTACCTTTGTATGACCATATATGGTCATACATGCTAACTATGTGTACTACTTGTTACATATCAGGTACTGTTTTAAGTGCTTTATATATTAACTCCTTTAATTCTTACAATAACTTAACAGATAAGGAAGCTGAGATATAGAGCTTAAGTGTCTTGCCCAAGATCATTTGTCTAGTAAGTGGTACAGCTGGAATTTGAATCCAAGGAGAATGGGGCTAGAGATTTTCTCTCTACTTTCACCTGGTTCTCCAAAGACAGCTACCTTTCCTTTTTTATGGCTAGTTTATGAAGAGTAGTCATGAAATAAGAGCTCTACAATTATATGTCAAAAGCAGAAGATAGATAGTAGGTTAATCCTGCTTTTGGGAAAAAGTGTTCAGAATATCCATTAAAGTAATACTATTGTAAATCTGTGAATATGAAAACTTGAGTGATTCTTTTCTCCTTTTTATTTATACTTTCTTGATAATTTGAATATCAGTGTGTATTTTTTTGCAGTTATGAGAAACAAGTCATGCTCACTTTGAAAATAATAACCACAACATAGTAAGTCAAAACTGTTGCTGTATTAGTTCTTTAAAATTTTTAAAAAGTTGGCCAGGCATGGTGGCTTATGCCTATAATCCCAGCATTTAGGGAGGCCAAGGCAGGAGGATCACTTGAGGTCAGGAGTTCAAGAACAGCCTGGCCAACATGGTGAAACCCCATCTCTACTAAAAATACAAAAATTAGCCAGGTGTGGTGGCGTGTACCTGTAATCCTAGCTACTTGGGAGGCTGAGGCAAGAGAATGGCTTGAAGACAGGATGTGGAGGTTGCAGTGAGCCAAGATCATGCCATTGCCCTCCAGCCTGGGTGACAGAGTGAGTGAGACTGTTTCAAAAAAAATTTTTTTTTAAGTTATTTTCACTGCTAATATGTTAAGTCTGTCCTGCAGACTCTGGCCAAGCGACAGATGAATGGAGTACACAGACACAGACTTGCCGGTCAGCACAGCTAGGGGACTCCTGCCAGAGTCAGCAGCAGCCTCCATAAGTGATAAGCCAGTGGAGCTCACATTTATTTAGCACAAATTTAATGACAAAGGCCTAGAGCAAACATCATTTGTGGGTAATTGACATTGTTGACCTCCCAAGTAGGGAGCAGTCCCGTGCATGATGATCAAAGGGTGGTTTCCAGAGAAATAGGTTAACAAACTTATCTAGGTAAATTCCTTTGCACTTCCTTGTTATCTGCCCTATGCTATTAGCTCAAGGTAAGAGGATTAGTCTGCCTTCAGCCATAACCCTTTCCTAAAGCTTTTGCAAAATCTCCCGGCCTTCCAAGCAGAATTGCATTTTTTCTACAATTTTTCCCAACCACCCTGACTGATCTACATCTCCACAGTTTCTGTTTTTTGATCAGGTTTTGTAGATTGAAGAGTACAGATGTGTGCAGCAACAGGTTTGTCAAGCACTGTGGTTATAAGTTGTGTTCCAGCTTTGCATTCTAGAATTAGTAAATAACATCAGACAAAAATGAGTATAATCAGTAACATTCTTTTCCAATCAAGGAGTGACATGTAGTGTTACTTGGCACCTCAGTCCAATGTATGCCATTAATGAGGGACCCCACCAGGGATATATTAATCCTTTCTAGCCAAGCAATCACATCGTTAGAGGCTAGGAAGGGAGTGTCTGCCTAAGTAACAAGCGGAAAAAAAGGCAGATTTAGAAGACAGGCTCAATAGAGTGTAGCAGGTACAGATTGCAGGCAGAATGAGAGAATAAACAAGGAAAAAATTATCTGGACTGAATGATGTTTGGAATAGGATTCGCTCAGCCTCCTGAGTTGTTTTTTTCAGCATTCCCCAGGTAATGTCCAGGGCTTGTGTTGTCCAAGGAAGTTGTAACATATGGGGCTGTGGGTCCTGCAGGGTCATTTTTTTATTTCTGATACCGAGTTGGGTCCTAGCCATGCCATGGTATGGTTTGATGTGTTGTGCGGGGATCCAAAGAGGACCTGAGGGGCTGTGAACACAAGTGTATCCTCTTCCCTATGTGAGCAAATCATTTGGACCACACCATACATTACTATTCACATCTTTCCATAAAACTGTGGGTTTTATGTCTTATGAGGTTTTAGCAAAGTGCTTTTATATAGCTGATTGAAATTTGCCATTTAAGTTTAAGAAATTAAGGGTAAATAAGGCTTGTGCTAGTAGTGTTGCAGGGTCCTTACTCATATCCCCCCTTTTTTGTTTTCTAAGCATATTTTACTACTTTTGTAGGCAAAACTACAGGAGTATAAAATAAAAACTGAAGTAGTTTGTCAGCAGGAAGGGCATGTTCTATCTGGCCTGTATAATCAGAGAGTGTTATCTGAAGATCTAGAGATAGGGTCAATACTGCTTCAAATGGCTTTTTACTTAGAGGTATTTTTATGAAGTCAGGGTCCATAAGCTAGCAACAGATTGCACTGTCTGTAGCCCATATAGATGACTTTACTAACTAGCTGGATATAGGGAGAGAGTGTTTTAGTTGAGGTATGTGAGCAAAAAAATCCACTGTAGGAAGCACAGCCCTGGGGACATCTGTCCTATTAATCCTCTTGGGGAATGTTTAGTAGGAAAAACAAACAATTGAACTGAATATTTTGGGTCTATGCAATCTAGTTGCCTCTGAGAATGTCCGACCTACCCTCTGCGGGAAGACTGGGCTCATTGGGAAAGAAACCGGACCGCAGGCTAGAGGAAATTCCTTAAGTTCAGGCTTTATTGAGAGGAAAGAGCCTCCGGGCAGGCCAGCTGGGACGAAAAGGAAAAATGGCCGCGCTGCTCAGAGGGGCAGGGTTGTTTTATAGGGGGCTGAAGGGCTGGGGGGTGGGGAAGCCAAAAGCCGAGGTGGTGGGCAACTGTTGGTCAGTTTGAACTGCTGGGTGGGAAGCTGGGCGGCGGGAAGCTGGGCGGCGGGAGGGCTAGGACCGGTATGTAAAGTGAGAGATAAGGGAGCCTCTTTGTGGGGGAGGGAAAGAGAGAGAGATTTTGCGGTAGGGGCAGAGTTTTCCAAACAGAGAAATAGCTTGTTCTGTTTTCTCAATTTCCCTTTTTTGCTGGAGGGGTTAAATACTTGGGAGAATCTAGAACTGTATTGCGCTTTAGGATAGAAAACAGGTTTTGCAATTTATCAGTAGTTATGCCCAAGGTGGGGTGAAGCCAGTTAATAACTCTCAGTAATTTTTGATAAACATTTAAGATACGTTAGTTACTAGTATTTAATTTAACCTTCTGGGGTATTACTGACCGAGAAGTTAGTATGTATCCAAGATATTTTGAAGGAGAGGACATTTGTGATTTTTCAGGTGCTATGGTTAAACCTCTTAACTCTGTATTCCTTTGGACAGAGGCATATAAACTT